CATTCTGCCTTCTCTTCATTTAGTAAACACATTCTTTACAGTTACAAAGAGGTTTAAAATTCATAGTAATAAGCAAAGCCAAAAACCAGGAGGGAATTGATCTTGAAAGATCAGAAACGACACCGCTAACTAAAACTTACTTTCAATAAAGTTCATATGAGTGGGGCTCCTCAGAAATGGAAAAATGTAACAAAACTTTTACCAAGGCTCAACTTAAATCCAAATTCTGCTTCTCCACGATTATTGCTACTTGCTTGTAATCTGAGGTGCCTTTACAGGGTCACGCTGAGCCAAGAGTTTCCACTGGTAGGCACTGTATAGGAATGACAGCCAGGGAAACACTCCTCACCCAGGCAGGAAACTATGCAACAGACTGTGATGTCTGGTAAAAAAAAGGACATACAAATGGGGGATTGGGCTGTGACAATGAAGGAGTTCACTGCTGCCTAGCAGAAGACTCAGAATCAAAACTACATCTCCACTTCGCAAAAAAAAAAGTGTTGCAGGAGTTGTGGACCTAAAGCTTCCACCTTTGATCCCTTCCCATTCACAGCTTTCAGAGAGTCTTACGGTACTAATCCAAATATATCTTAGTTCAGGTCACCTTTCTGGGCTTGATTTCAGCGACGAAGTACGGTTTGGCAGTGGCAAAGTGGCAGACCTCTTAACAACCTTCTCTGAATCAATATTGTCCATCTCACTCTTGGAGCGCGGAACTGAAAGCTGGGTTCTGCCTGTAGGATAAATTAAAATATAGAATATTGGTGAACTGCATAGAGGGCAAATAAATACATGCTTTACGTGCCCTTTCTATTTGAAGATTACACAAGAAAAGTGAATTACTTACTGTCCTCAGAATAGGAATAACGAGGAGAATATGAATCAGAATCTTCATCTGAAAGACAAAAACATTTTGCAAGTGAGCAGAAAAAGCCCCAAAGAAGAAGCACAAGAGACTCTTTTAATTTCCTCTACTAATACACTGGCCATAATTTGAGTGATATGCCCAATACTTACCACAGGTAGAAGATCCTAAAAAAAGAAAATCTCCGTGAGGTTTAAATTGTATTTAAAAATAATTCCTTGATTAGATATAAATATTAATGTACTACTTACACTAATACCTTTCTCCAGGCTCTCAAAGCACTTTAGAAAACAGTCACTTTTCATCACAAAACTCCTCTACAGCAAGGGTTATGAGATCCACTTTAACAAAAGCTGAAAGATAGACTGAGGATCTAAAAGCTGCAGTATATGCCTAAAGTAACTCATTGGGTGCCAGACACAGTAACAGAGCTGAGTCGTCCTGCTCCCAGTCATATATGATAATCGCTGGGACATCTTCCTTGTATTAACTTGCACACAAAGTTGAAGTATGTTCACTGCCTTATCTTTTAAGCACAGATAATGCTCCTGGCACAAGACACACAGGTACTTGCACTAAGAGACTGCCCTTGCTCTTAGAAGCTTACTTTTTAAATAGGAAGGACACATGTATAGAATGCAATAGAGGTATTCAAGCAGCTTTAAAAGAGCTAGCAATTACATCGGTATAACCAGGTGATGTGGTCTGGCCCCCAAGCTGAACAACTTCCTCTCTTTGATAGTGAAAGTGTTGCACTGCACCATCACAGCGATATTGTTCCCAGGACACGACTGCTGCCTTGGGTCGTGGAACCACATACTGACTTACTCAAAGATAACATGGTGGTGTGCAAGGCAGATGTGCTCAGACAGAAGGTGAGAGGATGGCAGCATTACCACACCCCACTCTACAGGTGATGGCCAGAGAGACTTTGACTTGATCAAAAACCTAGTGGTATCTTTCCACCATTTTCAGCAGGCTTTGGAACGAATCCTCAATGAACTGCAGGTAGTAGCAGGGGGAGTTGGGATCAGACCTGGAAACTGGACCCACAGGCCCACCACCTTTCTTTGCTGCTCAGGGTTCAAACTTGCAAGGATGTGAGACATCTACAGGACAAAATGCAGGAAAGTACAATGCAATGACTGCATAAAGAACTGTGAGCAAAGGTATTACTAAATACCTCTGTGAAGAAACCACAAGTGACTGAGATAAAAAGACAGAAAACCAAAACAGATGAAGCTTGAACAAGCTATATAAGAAAGGAACATACTAAAAAAGCGTTAGGTTTATTTAGTGATGCCGATCAACAGATTGAAACAATTTCCAGCTCTTGTCTCAAGGAGGACATCAATCAGCTGCTACAACCAATCTCATCTGCTGGAAAAACCAATCTGGCTAACACAGCTGACCTGAAATTGCACTCAAGACTTAATCCAGCCTTTTAGGAAGGCTCAAAGAAGTCTTAACTTTTACCCCCTCTGCTGAGGTCTCTTGGTAAATGAATTAGGTTTAAGTTCCAAACAGATGGTTATTGACTCTGGTGTGCTTATCGTAATCTTCATGTTAAAAAATAGCAGAGGTCAATTTTCAGGCCAATTCCCATATTTTAAACCTAAATGATAGAAAAGAAATATTTATTTATCTACTGTTATTACACTGAATTGTTGACAAAATTGGCTGGTCTTCCTATATAGAAGATGATTTTATTATTCAGATAGCAAAATACTTCTTGGATCACAAAACTCTCTGTCCCTACAAATACAGATGAACAAATGTCTAAAATTATGTTCACAGCCATTCACCTTTCATAATATTGTTTCGTACTGGTGAACAATGAAAAAATTCATTTACTTCCTTGAAGAATAATGTCAGTATTCATTATAGCTCATCATTCAGTCAGGAAAACCATACAGGAAAAAAAATATCATTGCAGATAGGTGCTATTTTCCAATTCCTAATATTCTAATATCTAAAATAATAAGGAGAACAGGTAAGTTTTGTCTCTTCAAGTACATTATGAAGAAGAATGTCTACATTTCTTGCCTTTTTACAGCAGGGAATACTGAAACACAGAAATCTGGAATTACTCGATAGAGATTAAAGAGTAAATCAGAGATGAGCATTAAAACAAGATTCAGCTCTCAGAGCTGCATTTATCTGTGGGATTCTCTTTAATGGAGCAGAGTATCACCAATGTATACTTCTAAAATCTGATTCTGTTAGTGAAAAGAGGTTATTCTCCTGCAGTTCCTAGACAATATGCAGGTTTGGTTTTTTTGTTGTTGTTTGTTTTGGTTTTTTTTAAAGGGTTGGCCAAAATATCTACATTTCGACACCTTTAGACTCTAAAGGGATTTTAGAGACGACTTAAAATCTTGATGTTTCTAGGAGGTCCCATGCATCAATCCAAAGCAAAAAAAAAAAATCTGACACTGACTGTATGAATTTAAGGCTTCAATCTATCTCTGTATAAACACTTTGCAGTTGAGTATAACACTTTGAAATGTTTCCTAAACATGAAACATGCACTCCAACCCATCTACATTATTAGACAGTCCATATTCCTCATGAAGGAAAGAATTCAAGCAGATGTTAGAGAAACATTTCTCAACGTACTGAGAATAAAGAGCAAGTATTTGGTTCAATAAAATTTCAACTACCTAAATCAGCAAATTATTTTCATATGCACTTTTGTAAGTGCATTGGGGATTTATATGAAAGCAGACTCTTAATATATTATCATCTTTGGTTTTGTAAACTATGTTCGTTCCAAAAACAGCAAAATAGATTTTCAAACTTCATTTCAAACAAGAAAATTGATTTTCTGTAAAACTCCTTTATCAGCTAGTTATTGAGGCTCTTTTTTCTGTCTCAACCACATCTACATACTATTTGGCCAATAGACTATAATTTACACTGTATTATGATTTGCAAAACAGGAGCCTTTACCTACAGGTTTCACCAAGAAATGAGCAAGTATTTTAAAATACCTGTATGACACTAGTCCACATTCATGTTAACAGTGAAATATACCTTGCACCTCTTAGGCTTCTTTGAGCATCTCAGCTAGACCCCATATTGTATGCTTTGTTCTTACACAGTACTCACCAGATATTTAATATAAACATTGAATGAAATGGTTAATTAACAGTCTCACCAGGGTTGGCTTGAGGCACAGGCTAAGAAGGCAAGTTCCTAAGCTGCAGGATCTAAAGTGATACCAAGGCAACAAGGCTGCTCCCAGCAACGATTTCCCAATCAGGAAATGTCTGTATGCCCAATGTGTGCAGCGGATTCCAGTGTTTCTCATATAAGTGTTTTCAAGCATATGCACACAGTTACAGGATTATCACTGAAATAAATACTATTTCACCATCCCTGAAACATGACTGCAAAGGACTCTGGTTTGTACACGAAGTTTAAAGGAATCTGCTGAGCACATGAAGAGGATAAATAAAGACAGTATTATTTCAAGTTGCAAGATGTGCTGATGAGACTGTCAAACTCTGTTCTTGCCTAGATATGCCAAGTGTACCCAAGGCCAGCCCTGAACTTATGTTACCAAGTTATATTTATTTTAAAAGACTACAATGAAGGGCTGACTCAAAACCCACTGAAGTAATCAGCCTTTTTATCAATAGACTCCAGTGGCATTTTGGGTCTGGCCCTAATACTGTGTTAATATTCAAAAACAGAAGTAAAGAGTTAAAGAAACATATTGATCCGAAAGGCAAGTGGGAAAAATCTCATTTAAACCACATCTTTACATGTAAGTCAGCATTCTAGGTATGTTAAGTAATCACTGCACGCACATGGCTAAATCCAACTGATAAGCGCACAAAACCAAGCAAACCCCAAGTCTGTAGCATTAGTCAAATACTAGTTACAAAGCCAGAGGAGCACTGCAAAGCCAAAGAGGTATCATACAGTCAAGGCAAGTGCAGCAAATCATTATGAGGCAGCATAATGCTCAGCAACTAGAAAAAACTCCAGGAAGAAAATAAATGGGTAAGGCAGCATTTGTGCAGAAAAATAAATATGGTCCTTTATTATTACCTTCAGAGATAGGACTAGGAGTAGACGCAGGAAACTGGTATGTAGGAGAATAAGGATTGTCTTCTGCAGCAGAGAAAAGCAGTGGCTTTTGAGACTATCCACAGTGAAGTGGAGGTTCTGCTTCGTCCCCCAACTTCCTATCACCATATGATTTTATTGCCTACTTTAATAATACTAGAGTAAATGGCATCATACTTTCAAAAAAGATTAATGGATTAGCAAAGATTTAGTTAGTTTATGCATCACACAAGAAGGTATACTGGGCATAACTGAATTTCCAACCAGTGCAACACATGGGTAATGGAAATCTAGAACCTGGATCTAGTTACTATTAGAGTGCTATAGTACAGTTAACTCAAAGCACAAGACAACAGATACTCTGACTAAACTGCTGGTACCTTCAGTTTTTTGCTGGATTTCAGGAAGTTCAGGAAATATGTAGGTAGGGCAATAAGGATTTTCTTCAGGAGTGTCTAAGGAGAGGAACGTGATTTGCAAAAAAGAACAGAGGACAGATTTAAAGGGGAAGAAGGGCGAGACAAGAGTCTATACAAGCTGCAGAACAGTCCCTCTTGTGTTGATGTTCTAGCATGACACAACCTAGATGCTTCTTTGCACATGGCTGCCCTGCATGTCTGGGCCCTGTGAGAGATCGTGGAAGACGAGGGGACTGAACTCATCTTCCTCCTCCTGAAGCATGGGCTCTGGCTGAGCTGAAGAACCTCTGTTAGGAGCACTGGGATTAGGAAACAGTTCAACTCTTTCTCATTCCATCCAATACAACACAGCATCTATATATGCATAAAGCTCATCATGACAGCAACTGCAGTGGCAAATACAGCTCCAATTTTGCATGCTTTATGTTTTATTATACAAGCGCAGGTCTAAATTGCATTTGCCGGCACGTGAGGCTGTTCAGAGGGTTCAGTCTGTAAATGCTACTGCAGCCATTTCTCACACAGAAGAATGAATGTGAACGTTTCAGCAGCCAGGCACAGAAGTGCCTCAAAGTAGGGGATACTCTGAGAATGCACCACTACAAAGTTTGCAAGTGCTCACCACAATTTTAGATTTTGAAAGGAGATAATGTGAGGTTTTGAAAAAGCAGAGTTTAGATTCTGAACTCCCCAAAAATTAATTGAAACTTTTCCATTGGTTTCAGTGAGTTTCAAATAAAGCTTTACTATGCACGTACTAAAGCTTTACAGTGTAAAAAAAATTCTCTTAAGCAGAGAGCTGCTTTGGTGATAACCTACTACCCGTTAAAAGTGTGTGTGTGTGGTGGGGAGGTTAGCTGCTAGAACTGGAGTTCAGGACTCTGCTTCCTCTAAGTAGGGAATTATTAGCAGCTTTCTGATCTCAAATAGTACTCTTGATTTCAGGAGGGCACTGCAGTTCACCTTTCACAACAACTCAGACCTTTCTTGGGACCTCACTGTTCTCTCATCTTTGACTTCAGAGATTTCAAATACATTGGTCAAGTTCTGTGGTGCAGAGCAAACACTAGTTAACGTAAGATGCTTTTATTTAATATCTAGTACAATTCCTCATATGAATGAAAAAAAAATGTTATCAAGATGGTTAAAAAACAAAACATCCGTTACAGTACCTCTATTTAACTTGTGGATCTGTTTGAACATTGTCTTGTACCAGTCCTTCGATCTCTCTGTATTCTATTGGAAAAATAAATATACACATAAATAATCACAACCATGAATTCTACCAGCCTTTCAAAGTTCTTACAAATCCTCCAGCAATGGGAAAGGTTTACACTCTGTTTCCTATTTCATTTATTATCACTGACTACCTAAAAATCTAGGCCATATGAAATTTGTACTTTGAAATATAAGTTATTTCAGTCAGATATATAATCTTATATGTAATGAAGCTACAGGCTTCACTCAAGGTACTCATAATGTACAAGCTTCACAGGGGTCAGTTCTAACCTGTGTAGAACTGTAGATTGTGTGGAAGGTTTTGTATATTGATCTGATTTGCCATCTAAAAGTAGACACCTTTCCTATTTCAGTCATATATACCAATTCTTTAAGTATTCAATAGACAGTTAGAAACATTTAGTGTTTCCAGATACTAGATGTAAGAATTCGTTAATAGCTCTTTTAATGATAATTTCCCTTCAACACTGAATGAACTTAAGCACGCTGTATAAAAAGAGATATCTACCTTTAAGCTGCCTAAAATAAGACAAAACTCTCCCTAAGCTACTAGGTGTGAGTGAAACAGAAGAGCAGAAAACAGTGTTCTCAGATATGATGAAAAGAGATACTAATTTTTATTTCACCCCCTGCCCCCTGAGACAGCTGGAACAGGTCACTGATAGTGAAGTGATAAGGGAAGTGTTCATAATAAAATGTGTTGGAACTAGAATTCTACCTTCCCTTAAATCTCTGCAGTCCCTGGAGCTTCAGTGAATTCCCTGAGTCTCCAGGTGGGCAGAATCTGGGTCAGGTTTTGTGTTGGCTTACCCTCAGTGGAATGCCAATATCATCGACAGAGGTATCAGCCACGTGCTGAGGGCTCTTGACAATGCTTCTCTTTTCCTCCATTGCCCTCTTCATGCTTGGCACTGTCTCCTGAACCGGCTTGTCCCGTACGAGTGCTGAATCAACTTTATCAGAAACTAGTCTGTCTGGCACTGAATCTGGAAATGAAAACGGGGGATTCTTATCTCATCCCAGTATTTCACTACATCAACATATTCCACTCTTTTAAGGCAAAAATCCTAGCAAGTAATTGATGAGACAGACTGTGTCACTGCTAGCTATGGTTAGCATCTGGACTTGTAACAGCTTGCTCTCATCTGCCTGACTTTCCCATTTGTTACAGTCAGTATACGATGTTTCCAGTCCATCTCCGTGCCCCAACCAGAGTTTGAAACAACAAATTACACCCTTTTTTAGCATGTGCATAATTCCTCTTGTACCTGAGTCTCCATAAAGATAGAGTGAAACAACTAATTGCTCCAGATCACCCTTGCTTTGACCTGGAATTCCTTGATGCTGCCCAACTGGCACCCACAGGTAGCAGCAGACACCACCACCACCACCACCGGCCAAGGAACTCAGGCTGCTCTAAATTTCTACTACGCTCTGGAGAGCTGCAGGACAGCAGCTCTTAGGTTCTGCCAGTGACTTTTTCTAGGTGGATTTTCTGGAGAGGAAACATCTGTGATTTTAGTCTGCCTCATCAAGACTTTGCCATGTCCTATTCTTTTTACATCACTGCATGCATTGAAAATAGCGAGACAGAAAGGTATTTATTCACATGCACATCACCACACTGCCCAAAGCCATTAAATGTGCAGAAATCTGAAAGGGGCAGTTAGCAGAGGAAAGGCTCGTGCATAACAAAGCTTTGGTCTGTTGGTACCTTAAGCAAACACAATACTGCCCTGCGAAATTCAGTGTGTGAAGGATTTGTGTTTGAGCAGTTGGTTTGAAATTACCATCAAACTCTAAGTCTTCCTCCTCTTTAAGAAAAATTAAATAACGTTTATAAATGTTCAAAAATGGGGCAAAGCATCTATTAAATCCTTGTTTAGCATTTTCACCCTATTTTTCCCCTCCCCGTGAATGTGCGTGCACTGTCTTTTGGTCCTTTCGTGTCCCTGGTGTGCAGGGCTCTCCATTTTGTAGGAAGTACTTGGCCCATTTCCATTACTAAACTCCTCACTAAGCCTCTGGAAACAGAGCATGGAAAAAGCAACTAAAATCAGACCATTCTTGTATGACCTTGAAGACCAAAAGGAAGCGAGTATTTGGATGTGGAGAGGATGCAAACTTTAGGAAAAGTCACAGCTTTCCTCCATTACTTATCGTTGTTACTACTGATGTTACAAGACCTAAGCTTCTGGTCTAGAAAAGTTCTAATTTTCTACTGGCTAAAGAATTCAATGCCAGAGAATGTGACAAAGACATCTTTCATCACAGATTTCCTACAATATCCTACAACTTGGAGAATAATGGCTAAACTTCATACTGACTTATCTGCCATGCAGCTCTAATGATTTCAGAAGAGTTTATGGAGGTATATACCAGACTTTGAGGTATTTAAAAATCAGAGAGGCAATCTGGTGCCCAAATAACCAGATTGCACCAGTCAGCACACTCCATGGCACCTGAGCAGCAGCAATATATGGGGTTGCACAGCAAGACAGTTTTACTGCTGTGACCAAGAAGAGATAAAAACGAGGGAGAGAGAGGTGGCAGCCAGCAGCTTTGTGGTGGTGTTCTGGTACACTGAGAGCAGGGGCAGAACCAGCTGTGCCACGTGCTTCACTCTTCCAGGCCAACCTTCATTTGGGCTGTAACAAAGTGCTCTGTGGCTACCTCTAGTGCAGAAAGCAAAGGGGTTCCTGATAATGAAGGGAAACACCTTGCAAAAGGGAAAACCATCAAGAAACCTCTGTCGGGACTTGCAGGCAAGTGTTAAACTTGCAGCTGAGTGGTGTCTGATGAGACAACACCTCCGCTAAGGGAAGAAGCTGAGTGAAACGGTGTAAGCTGTTACACAGCCTGTCACCTCAGCAGGGTGGCAGCAGAGAGGAGGGATGGGCTGGTGACACGGCCAAAGGAACCTGGTGGATGAAGCTGGACCAGGTCAGGAGCTGTCTCATGGGCAGAGGCTGTCCTCATGGGACACACTGCCAACCCAGGGCCTATGCAGCACAGGAAGAGAGTGCAGTATTGGCTTCCCTGTGTTTCTGTTTGTGATATTTAAACTGCTTAGGCACTCTCTGTGACTCTCTTCTCTCCCATCTCTTCATTTACCCCACCGCAGCCATAACCAAAGAATAATAATATGGGTACAGGGTGCATAATGTTCCTATAACACCCACTGCAGCCTGAGCTAATTCTGTTTGGGGGTGGAGAGGGAAAGGTGACCAGGAAATTAACTTGCTCATCTTTCAAGCAAAGACTCTCACTCCCTTTGCAAGAGTAGAGAGCTGTCTGGGGAGAGAAGGGTGGCAGCACGCATGATACTTGCACACTACAATTTTATCATCTATTTCGTGACATCTAGCACATATACTTCTGCCCCTGGAGTCATGTAAATACTGATTTTTATTTCTCTTCCTCTCCTCTCACTCCAAGACTAACTCTAATAGCTGTGTAGAGAAACTTGAGAATATGCCCCAAGGGAATAATTTAAAGGCTCAAAAGGCAGCCCCAAAAGTCAACTAGAACAATCAATCTGTATGTAAGTCTTACCACTTAGGAGGAACAGACGAGTAATTTAGGGTTTTGGCATATTATCAAGGGGCCACAAAGGTAGCATTTGGAGAAAGACTGAAATCAAGCATTCGGTGACCTGGACTAAGCCAGGACAAATATTTATACTCATTCCTTTGCAAATGCTGGGAAATGTGTTTGCTAAAGGTACTCCACAAGCTAACAAAGCAGCAGCTTTTCTCCAGCAGAGGCAGTAGTTGAGGGGTAGCAGACCTTTCATATCATACCTGCCAGGCTACTACTAAGCCTTTTTTGCTGCTCTGTGATAAAGGAAGAAACAAACAAAAAAAAATACAGAACAAATGGGTGAGACATAAACAGCAAGTGCTCCGGTGCTGCATTTCTGACAGGAAAGAAATACGCTGTAGACAGAACAGCAGCAGCTGCTGGAGAGAATCTGTTTTCAAATTCCCTGCCAAAGTAACAGCCCACAGTCCCTTCTCCACACTGCAGCCTCGTGGAATACTACAGATCTCATGATGCAGCGACTGATACATTTGCAAAGAGCATTTTTTAAAAATTTTTTTTTTTCTTAACATCGGAGAATGAATAAAGTTGGACAGGAGACACTTTAAAAAACAGTAAAAACTCACAAACATCTTGACAACTAACTGTTACCATTAGCATGAAGTACATTTTGAAACAGTAATGCTGTCGCATTTCAAAGGGATATAGAAAAGGATCAAGTCACTGGTGCTTGCTTAGTTTCAGCACATACCACTGAGCCACAGATTCAGTGATCTGTGCACAGACACAGCTTGGTTAATGCTTTGATTCTCAGAATGGTCCTCTTGGTTTAGGGTTTTTCATTACTGAAGTTCTCCAGACTGGGACATTTATGGTATCTTCCAGTGTTTCTGACCACCCTAAAGCTGATGCTCACAGCTGCTTTCTAAAGGGATGCCCAAATGACTTGCCTAAGTCATGGCTGGGAATAAACTAAGAATTCTTAGCTCTGTTCTCTGCTCTTTCTACTCCGTAGCAATTAATCCTTTCATTTAAGCATGAAAGCCATATGAAAAGGATAAACTATTTTACTGACATACATAATACAAACACACTTGAAAGCTCATATTGTTAATGCAAAGATTTCAAAACTTTAATATATTAATCACACCTGTTATGTAGTCATAATAAATCGTGCCATGCAATGCCTGCCCAGGAAATAACTGTGCTTTGGGGCGGCGTGGGACATTTGCCAAGCAAGTCTGCAGTAGGTAACAATACTCCAGTTGTACTCCGTTTGCTAGCAGAACCCATCTTCACTAGATATTTGTACTAAGTGGATCAACTTCAGCAAGGGAGACTGATTTCATCTCACTAAGTGCAGCTCCCTCACCAATTTCTATGAACTTTGCTCTAACTCCAGCACTTCTGCTCTGCTAACCACTGAAGGCAAGCTGCTCGTGTACATTATGCTCATGATAGCTGTCCACATATGAAATAAAACCCTACAGGCAATAAGGAAAAGGAAGGGTTAGCAGTCTGAACCTGAAAAGTAGTCAGGAACCACCTGCTGCAGGGTTCACTCATCTAAGCAGGCCATCAGAAGTAGGCTGGTGTATTATGAGAAAGGAGAAGAGATGCGAGTGAGGATGGTCTCAGCTTCAGCCATCACCTTCGCTAAGGAGAACTGTGTTCATTCACTAAGGTCTCTTGATAAAAACATGTGGTTTAAAGAGTTGATACTCGAGAGCTCTTTCCTATCTCCTCCTCCACAGAGGAGAGAATATCATGGATGAATAGACTTTTCATGAAAAAAATTTTTACTTTTTACATGAAAAGGAGGTTTCCTTTTCACCTGTGTCTCTGACAAGGAAAGAGAGATCCTGATCTATGGAAGCAGAAGGAGCAGGAGGTGTCTGCTATTTTGCCCTCCTGCCTGACCAGAGACAGCTTGCAGCCCCAGGCACACACCAGCTAACTGCATCTTTCAGCCTCCACCTTCTGTTCTGGGACTGTAAGCAAAGGCCAAAACCTTGTAGGCTTCTCAGAGAAAGAGTCGAGCAGAGGAATGTAACTGCTGGCAACAGTGAAGGAATTATTATAGGTGCCTTCAGAGTTCCTACAGGAAGGAGCACTGGAAAAGGCTAAGACTTCAAACCAGAAACAAAAGGGTAAGAGGAAAAAAAAAAAGTATTTGAGTACATGTTTAGTGCAAAATAAAGGTGTCAAACCCAGTATTAATCAAGACATCAACAGACATGAAGGGAATAAATTCTTACCTTGGTGCTAGGAATGAAGAGAGGATCTGAAATTACTTTATAAGCATAAATCTTGTTCAGTTTGTATTACTGAAATCCAGTATAAAAATTCTGAGATCTCTCATCACAACTTACTAAGATCAAGCAGACAAAAAAAAGGATATAGTGTAGTTTCTGTGCTTCAAATGCCACTACCTGTTCCTAAGTCTCTGACAGGTCCAAATCAAGGGGTCCTACACACTTACAGATTAATGAAGTAGCAAATAAAACATTAAACAGGACAGTAGGTGATGCCTGCTACAACAGTCACTCCAGAGAGTAAGATAACCAGCTCCTTAAAAAGCAATCAATAATCAACTGAGGAGAAAGAAAGCCACATAATCCATCTGGAAGACTACCTAAATGACTGGATATCTTGGATTGCTAGCATTAAAATGACCTTGAAATTACTAATTCAGAGGGTATCTCATAGCACACAAGAGGAATTTATATTAAACTTCATCTTGACATGAAGGAATTGATTTCAGCACAAAACATAATTAGCCATTCGGAGGAAGGTGGACCAAAACCTAGTAACAATTTGTCATATGCCATGAGACCAAACCAGTTTTGACTAGATAAGGTTCATAAAGACAGAACCAAATATGAATCATGTCAGCCAGGACAGAAATGTAATAGATAACTAAGATCTGAGAACCATTTAAAAACACTATGTTAGCAAAAAATAAATCTTAATGCTATGCTGGGATAAAGCCTAGATAGGAATGGAAGCATAAGGAACTGAAAGAAACCCTTGGTATATAAAAAGATGGAAAATTAAGAAAATGCATATCTATGAGTAGGTAACATAGGCTGGGAAGTGCAAATGACAATGGGAGTAAAAGAATTAAGAGAATGTCTCAGAGACTCAAAAATAGGTTTTGAAGTACATGACGAATAAACAAAAACCTAACAATGATCTGTTCTTTTACCAAATAGGCACAGTGGAACTGTGAATAAGAGAGCAGAAAAGATGACACATCTGACTACTATTTCCATTCTGCATTTGGAAGAAAAAAAAAAAAGAAAAAAAAGAAAAGTCTGACGTCCTCCTGCCTGATGGAGAAATACTTTCCACTTCAACAGTAACTAAGGACCATGCTGGATGACAACAACTGAGGTCAGACGTTTGAAAATTAGCACATTCATTTGAACTGTACTGAAGAGTTTTAGAGCAGTTTTCTGCTCGCCAGAGAGCAGTTACCGAGAGAGGCAAGACATATGCAGACAGGACAAACTGTTAACTGTGAAGGTAAGTAGTAAACAGAACAATGTGACATCAGTTGTTTCAGAGCCTGTGTGTGTGGATCATCATATTATACATGTCTGTCTCTCGTGCTCTTAAAATCTACAGAGAGAAAATATCTTTGTGTGGCACACGCTGAAATGCTCCATTGTTTTGCAACGCAAAAGCAAACCAAAAGAGTATCCCCACCTCAAGAAAGCCAACAAAAAGCTTTGAGATAAAAAAGGCTGCCTCATAAAATTTTGTCCTCTTGAAGAAGTTGAGGAATCCAAACACCCTCACTCAGAAGCACATAAGCAAAGTCGCCTCAGATGCTGGAAAAAATTAAGAGATAACCCACTCGTTACCCCTATAATCAGCTGGGGTACAGTAAGGACACTGTCTTCAAGATCAAAGACTAAAGTCTGTTTTAAAAAGACACTGAAAAGAAACACATGGTGGGCTGCAAAGAAGCACATCCATGCGTGCCTGTAATTAGAATGACTACAATATGAGAAGTGCAGGCCTTACTCCTATTTTGTGATTATTTTTTTTTTCTTTGCAAAAGGTAAATCATTGCAGATAGGAATCTACCTGTCCCAGAGTTTTCAAAGTCTACTGGAAATCAAGGCAAATTGGACTGCATCTGTGTGGCCTTTTATAAGATACAGCCTTCAGTGATGCACAATGAACTGGGAGGCTGAGTAAATGCTAGCCATCAGGAGAATGAAAATTGAGAAGCAGAGTTTCCCTCTAATGCCAGAGGTAAAGAGATGCAACTATCCATTCAGACGGAGCTGCTGTGAGGCAGAGAAAGGCTGAGATTAGGAAACATGAGAGTGCTCAAACAAGGTTGTTTTGTTCATATGCAAACCCAGAGCTCAAGGACTACTGCAGTACGAGTCTGAGTTGATCTAGTTAGGGACACAGGAACAAATTGCCAAATTCAAACTTATGGGCAAATGGATTATTTACTGTTGGGTAAATTCTGCTGAGAATTCAGAGGTCAAATCTCTCCCACAGAAACTCAAAATATGACTGCCTTCACGCTACAGTAGCTGAGAAGTAACATATCCCCTTTTCCAGCAAGGGAGAACCTACCTCAAGCTACCTTGGTTCTGCTGACAGATAGATGAGAGCATACACTCTTTTCCACCATGGCAAGACACACGATGGGGGATAAGCTATAACCCTGCAATAGCTTATTCGTATGTACACAGCCCAGTTACAAGCCTCTCTCCCAACCTCAAAGTGGCTTCTGATCCACAGATTCTAAATACAAAAAGTAGGCATTGTCCCACACCTTTAAGCTCTTACTTGCCCACCATATGCTCCACTCACTACAACTTTCTGGAGGTAGCTTTGTTAGCTTTTAGTAGTCTGGACTTAATTGTTCATGTAACACACATTCTCCAGTTCCTTGTAGCATAACAGGTTGCTCAGTTGGAGCCCTAAATATCTATATGCAAGTGTTCTTACCTCGATTGTGCTGCAAGAGGACAATAGTGGGATTGACAATTGTGGTAGAGGGATAGGCAGAGGAAGACTTGTTGATTGAAGTGAAGGAGGTTGGATAGTCAGTGCCAGTGCCAGGCTGGGGCACTTCATTTAGCACAGGACCTGGGTCCTAAAAAGGAGAGCAAGACATCATTACCATCATGCAGAAGGCTGATACACTGGGAAAACCTGGAAAAAAAACCCGCACATTTTAAGCTGAATGAGAAGAATAACCACAGAAAATTTTAGTAAAAAAGGCATAAGCATGAGTGTTACCCTGCTCCTTGTATGTACCCTGCTCGTTGTTAATGCAATTAGTTTGCTAAGGCAGTACTATAATTATTTGGTGTTGGGTTTCACAACTCCAACGCCAAAAGGAGGCACTAAATTAATCCAGCAGGCTCTCTGGAGCAAACACAGGGTGCCAGAAAGGAGCAAATCTGATTGAGAGGGAAGGCACAGATATCTTCCCCCTGATATGTACGCACACAAACATTTGTTTTAAAAGTATTCCTTTCAAAGCAATAAGTCAGACATGCAAAATTCATGCAATTCTGGAGTGAAACATTATTACTGCAGTTGGTTTGGAAAGGAAGGTCCAAGGAATAACGTTAGCACCATCACTCAGGAGACCATTTGACACCTACTTGGTTAAAATAATGAAATAAAGAATGAAATAAACAAGATAAAGAGTAAAAAGTAGGAGTCTAGCAAAGAAGATACTCAACATGGCTTTGCCACTGGAGCACAGATAGCAAGCTGCTCTCACTCTCCTAAGCATCCAGCTCCATCACTTGCTTATTTCAAACCCACCTCTGGTGTGACCACAACTCTGGTTGTTTTGTAGAAAGACAGGCTGGGTCAGCAG